TGGCCAGGGCAGCGGGACGTCTCACTCTGCACTTGGTTCGGCAGAGTGTGCGAAGGCTTTTGGTAACCCGTGTGCCCAACATGGAAACGACACATGGCAACATATATGGCAACGCATATGGCCATTGGAACCATGATTGTGCATACACCGGATAACTCAAAATGTGCTTAATGGAAATGTGCCAACACACCTTCGCAATATGTTGGAACGGCTTCGAACCCGCGGTGAAAATTGCGATAGGTGCTTCCGCTGGGATTTGGCCTCATGTTGTATGTCGTAGCAATCTTGAGACCATGCGCAGAGACGGGCGAAGCGGAGGCATGCAAGGGTGAAGGAGGAAGAGGTGGAACGATGACAACAATGTGAAGAAATGCCAATGCTCTACTCATACCCGCACGTAGCGCATGCGTGTGCGCGCTTGGCGTGATCGCTGCTGCAAACGTGTGACCGATGACAATACACATTCGCACTACATATTGCCGTGCAAAGGTACACGGGTTAGTAAGATCACTAGCACCGGATCGAATTCCGCAACGCCGTGCCTCATTTACTGACTTGTGGCCGTTCGCTGACTTCCTATCAGACCACCCCAACCCAACCCGAAGACCCGAATTTTCGGGTTCGGGGGGTGCGCGGGTTCCATAAATGTTGTCTCAATGTTCCTCCGACCGCCCCCCACTGGAAATGGAGGGCAAATTGAAGCCTTCGGGTTGGGTTGGGGTGGTTTGGTGGGTGGTGATTCGCGTCCCAAGAACTCCATCCCTGGGCGCTCCATTGTTTACTACACTCTGACTGAGCGACTTCGCGCCTCCAGGTCTGGCCGAGCCAATCGAACACATCATTGGTCGGGTATGACCGATTGGGAACTTACGCAAATGAGGCCCCATAACCCCCGAACAAGCCCTGAACAAAAACTACAGTTGGGTTTTTTTTTGAGGGTACCCCCCCCCACCTGGAGAATCCAGGAGCCTAGGCTGGCCAGAGAACCCCCGACCCCCCCCCGAAAACCCTCCAAATTGTTTTATTTTCCTGGGTTTCAAACCGGATCGCGAGCGCAGACGGCTCTGCAGACCACCGATGCCACTGGAACGCGAGATGCAAGCCAGGCCACCAAACATGGCTCGTCATAGGAGTGCCTCGCCCAAGGATTAGCATGACAATCAGAAAGCCTTCTGGACGGTTATCGCGGCCACACAACAAGCAAAAAAGACCACTTGCGGATTATAACTAACGGCGCCACAGTACTAACCGAATGTTTACCTGCATAATTCCAAAATCCGCTATAGCAGCAAATTGTAGCATCGCAGTGGGGCCGTACTGACTATGTTCATTCTTACAAGCACCTCAACTGATGATCGCACCCTTCCATTATGTCCAACTGATCAACTGAGACCTGAATCGACACATGTAGCCCCTGGGGGAATCAAAAGGGACAATGCTCACTCTCTCGCTCTACATCCCTGTCTCTCGCTTTCTCTTGTCTGCGACTATGTAGATCCGTTCATTCGAATATGTTCCAATAGCTTCTGCGAGGTAAGGCTGTGGACCGCACTTGGCAACCACCTCGACCTATCGTCAACAAATCCAGAGGATTCACCCGGCAAGCCTTTGGCGCCCTTGCCCTTTCCTGCAAGCGTAATTTTAAGTGAAAGCGATCCTGCCTGCTGCTGCCGTCGTCATCGGAGGACACACAGGTGGATCACACGCAAACGTACCTGCTTGATTGATAAATGTAGTTTTGCATACGACCTCTGGTCCACCAACCATGCACAAGCCGACAGCTCTGGTTACATGCTTTGGTGGGCCATGGGTCTTCACGCGGCCCAAATACTTGTGCGGATAATCAGGATGAGGTCGCAAGTTGCTTTCCCTTCGGGGTTCCAGTGGAAGCTAGGGTAGAATGGCGTAAACTAATGCGAAGCGGACTGGCGAAATTCGCACAAGTGCACGCAAGAAAGAACTCGCGGCACGATGATCTCACACTGTACTCTGCCACCGTGCTGCTGGGCGCGGAATCAGCGTGTCCTCGAATCCTTTTCCCGATCCCCTGAGCCTCAGTCCCCGGCTCTGACAATTCGGGGCCTGGATGCAAATCTCCGAAATCGCTTGGGGCTTCCCATGTGCCCCCCGGGCTCCCTCGCATCTCGTCCCGTGAATTCTTCGGACCCAACATGGCCCGAAGACTGGCCAAGAAAGCCTCAAGAGGTCCCCCGAACGGTTCAAGAGGGCCCGAGTCGCCGAAAGATCGCCCCGAGATGCGCAAGACGGCCTCAAGATGGCCCAGCAGGCCTCCAAGACGCTCCAAGAGGCCTCCAAGAGGGCTCCCAAGAGGCTTCCCAAGAGGGCCCCAAGAGTCACAAGTCATGGATTTCTGTAGGTGTTTGAAGGATTTTGGCGTTCTCGCCTTTTCGGCTCTCCGACTCTTCAAGAGGCCCCAAGGTCCAACACCACCCCAAATCGACCAAAGAGGCCTCCAAGAGGGCCCCAAGACGGCCTGGGAGCGCCCCCACACGGCCCAAAGGGAGCCCAAGACGGCCCAAGAGGGCCCCAAGACGGCTCCCAAAGGGGCCCGAGAGACCCAAGAGGCCTCCAAACTGTCTCCAAGAGGCCTCCGATAAGCCCCCCACGAGATCGCAACGAACATCCAAGAGGCTTCATACCCACGACTCCGACAGGGTGGCGGGATGGGCCGAAGGCCATTCGATAATTGGTTTGGCTGACTGGACGCCCGAGTCCGGGCGAGTGGAGGCAGATGGGGATTAGTTCAGAGCGTCGAGGAAACCTTCAACCTTCCCCCTGGCCGGTTCCCTCTGGGAAGCGCCACTGGCCCGACCCGTTCCCGTCTCGGATGGGACGGGTCTTCCACTCGACCAAAGACGGGCCGTTTTTCGGGGGCGAAGCCCCGTTCGGGACGGTAGCGGTGCCCATGGCGACCATCGCCGTGCGCCTGGCGACGGTACCGAGAAACAGTGCGCGGTGTGCCCGCCAGAGAGTTCGGCGAGACCCCCTGGGACGAAAGCGGGTGCCCATGAGCACATATCGGCGAGGCGCAACTGACCAGACGCGTCGCGAGGCGAAGGAGCTCATCCTCAAAGTGTGCTAGATATCAAACTCTTTGCGCACAGCGTGCTCGCCAACCCTGTCGGACACCCGGGTAGTCTTCTTCATTCTCGCTCTGACATCTCTGCTGGCTACGATTTGTCTGAGTGGCGCAGTCGAAGGTGTGAGTGAACCCGCCGCGACGACACTCGTTGGTATCCTGTTCCCACAAGGCATACACGTGCGATGCAATGCAATGAGGTTCAACACAATGCAGCGTACAGTGCACCACAGCAGTGTAGCAGGTCAACGCCTAACGAATCATGCCACATCAGTATTGTGTGATCTAGAATAGCACTGCGCTGCAGCACATGACATCACATCACATCACACTGCAATGGATTGCACCGCGTAGATCAACATACCATAACACAGCATGACACTGCACATCGAGTATGGCATCCCATGGAATATCCCTGCACAGCGTGGACGTTCATTACATAACACAACATGGTATCCGCCACCGTGCCTTGTTCACGTTGAGGCGTGGAAGAAGGCCACGGTCTGCCTGGTCGGGTTTCAATCACTTTCTAAGGGCCACCCCTCCCCTCTCGACACATCCAGCTGCGTGCGCCACCCCCTCTTCCCGAGGCCACAATCCATCGCACATGTGACAGGTTCGCGCTCCCGAGGCCCAGATGCACCCAAGATGGCTCAGCATCGCTCCAAGACGGGCCGCTCTGCTTCAGGATGGTCCACGAGGCCGTCAGGGCGTCCCAGAGAGCCTTAAGAGCCTTCCCAAGAAGGTACCGAGAGACAGCACATCGCAGTTTTCCCGTACAGTCTTCAATGTTTTTGGGTTCTCGCCTTTTCGAGCTTCCGACGTCCCAAGATGACCCAAGCAGCCACCAAGACTGCCCCAAGACGGCCCAAGAGGCCCCGAAGAGGGCTCCACAAAAGAGGCTCCCAGAGGCCCCCAAGAGGGGCCCGAAAGGTAACAACTATTGATTTTGCGTAGCTTTTTCATTTGCTTTTGGGTTCTCGCCTTTTCGAGCTTCGGACGCTCCAAGACGGCACAATAAGCCCCCAAGACTCCCGCGAGACGGGTCAAGACGTCCCCAAGAGAGCAGCATCCCTTGCCCGCTCGAATAGCGGCCACCCAAAATGCTGCGCTGGCACGGTGGCGGAATTGCCGGAGGCAGCTGAATATCATAACACAGCGTAACACTAAGTGAGCCTAACCGGGGATCGACAACATGATCGATTACCCCCGCGTGAGCATCGAAGTCGGCGAAAGTGGGGACACGGAGCGGCCATGAGAGCAGCTCGAAGTCAGGACCCCGTTGCGGGACCAGCTGCAGTCAAGATCAAGTCGGGCCTCCCGAACCCAACATTCAGAAGACGCGGCTACCCTGCGCCCTGGGGCAGCCGCAAAAGGCCAAGCAACTCATGGGCCGCTGTGGGTCGATGTCCTCTTCGCTGCGACAAGCTCCTGATTTCTTCGGTCGTGGGGTGGTCGGCCAAGCTCACGGCCGACGCAGCCGAAGATCGGCACGCGCCTTCCCTCAGAAGCACTCCCCTCCCGACGGTGGGTCCTTGCAAAGCACAATCTGGATCCCCTCCCGGGCACCGTTTCGACAAGTCTGTGGAGCCGTGCCCAGCCGTTGCGACGAGGCCTCGCCCCCTACCGACGGCAATAGATGCATCAATGCGAGCGCCAAGACACGCAGGAGGTGGGTGCAGTGTTGTTCAAAACGCGCCTGTGCGAACGAGCCCCCCCGACTTCAGGGGGTTCGTTCACGCTGGGCGTTTCTTTTCTTTTTTGATTGGGGGGGCCTTCAGTGCTAAAGGGGCCCTCGAGCATTGAAGGTCCAACGGCGATCTTCTCAGCACTCCAAAGCTACGGACAAAACGATCTCGGAGGCCAGGGACAGGGACCAGGGCGAGTCACGCGGCGCCCCTCAAAGGCCGAGTCCTTTGGCCATCATCATCTGGTTCGTCCTCTCGACCAGCTCCTCCATCTGCCTGGGATTCGAAGGGAAGGGATCTGGACGAGAGGCCGGCGCCCGCATTGGCTCGAAGCATCTCGGCCCAAACACTGCAAGACGAAACTTCTTTTTTTGTTATTTCATTTTTTGAAACGGAAACCACTGTAAGACAAAGCCTGGAAAGGGACAACATCAGACCGGGACAAATCAGGGATCTCTGAGATCTGGCGGTTCCGGAGAATGTGATGTATCTGGCGCCGCGGCCTTTCCAGAGCGCCTTGGAACGCCCTGAGAACGTTGCGGAACGCTCTGGGGCGAGTTTATCCTAGTCCTGGGCCTGCCCGACACTGGCCTTCAGCTGGCCGCCCTTTGGGTCGAGCATCAGCGGAGCGGGCGCACGGATCGCCGAGACTTGGGGGTCCCAAGACACCGCGGTGACATACCGTGCGGTGATCTCGCAATCCCGAAAGACCCCACCGCGCGGTCCGCCGCCGTATCGTTTCAGAACCGTGCGGTGACCACACGGTGTGACTTACTCGAAACCAAAAAAGCTGCATAAACATAAACTTATGGAGGTCCACGCGGATTTCTTAGATCCGCGCGGACCCCCCCCTTCCCTGGAGCGTGGAGCGTGCCACGGGGGCCCAGCGCAGATCCAATAAGTCCGCGCGGAGCTCCGCAAGTTTATATTTATGCAATTTGTTCCTCTTTGCCGCCGCTGGGCTTGGGAAGCCTGGCCGGAACCACCACGCTCGGCCTGAGCCATCAAGCGATGCCAATCTGCGCGGGGCTCCAAGAGTTTGTGTTCATGCCGTTTTCGGTGGCAAGTCATGGGAGCCTCCCATACCATATTGCCTGCTCTTGCGAATCGGCGCTGATCGACGCTAAATCGATGCGAATCGGCGCCATCTCATCGATTACCAGACGCTAGTCGACGCCAGCCGACGCCAAAGATGGACTGGAGAGGGGCACACAAGGCGCTCAAGATTTGATACCGAATGCCGCTTCGTTCTTCCTGCCGTTCTTTCTCCTTCTCCCGAATGGATGGGAGGGCGGGGGCAGGGCTCGGAGGTCGCCGCCGATCGAGGCCCACCGCAGCGCATCCAGCGGCGCGCCCGCGGGAGGCCCGAGGTCGGCGGCCCCCCACCCGAGTGAGGGGCAACGACAGGGGCGAAGCATCGACCTGGAATCGGCGACACATCGCCGATAGATCGGCGATCGGGCCCCCGATTGTGACTCCGCGCGCTCCTGGGCCGGGGTGGGCTCGGGCCCCTCTCGGCGATCCATGGGCGGTCGGGGGTCGGTGCGTCCCCCCCCTTGGTGCCTGCCGCCCCCTGTCGCTGCCCCTGGTCGAAGCCCTGGGGGGCCCCCCGTAAGATGTCGGCGGAGCGGGCGCACGCGTCTCGTCGAGGCTGGCGCACGGCGCGGCGGCGGCGCAGCTCTGGAGCCGCGGGGGCGGGGGCGCCCGCCGGAGGCCGAGGACGAGGACGAGGACGACGAGGACGACGAGGACGACGAGGGCGAGGGCGAGGGCGAGGGCGACGACGCGAGGAGGCCCGCAGGCCGAGGGCCCGCGGTGGCACGCACGCGAGGCCGCTAGCGAGGGGGGGGGGAGGGCAGCCTCCCGAAGACGAAGCCAGGGCGAGGATCAAATCGGCCCCTACGAGCTCCACATCAACCTCCCTTTCCTCCTCCTCCTCCTCCTCCTCCTCCTCCTCCTCCTACTCCTACCTCCTCCTCCTACCTCCTCCTCCTCCTCCTCCTCCTCCTCCTCCTCTGCGCCATCGGGGTCGCCTGTTCACGATGTCGTTGGGGTCCCCGCCCTGCTTGCAAAGCCTGCCGACGCGCACGTAGCACACATTACACAACGAAGCAAGCATATCAGTGAATTCCCGGATATTTCCGCAAATCCTCAAGGATGCTCCTGAGACCGCCTCCAGGCACGGTTGCGGGATGGGCCGACAGCCCGTCGATACTCTTCACACTCGGCCCTCCTCACGCCCGATTCTCTACTTTTTTTTTCTATATATATATATATATATATAGATCTCTCTCTCTCTATCTCTTTCTCACTTTCTCTCTCTCGCTCTCTCTTTCGGGGCGGCGCGCCGTCGCCAACGGTGCTCTTCAATCCGCCCCTCCTCTGTCGTGGCGCTGAATGCGCTGCGACGCAGTGTGGCACGTGTGCCTACCTGCTCGTCTGTCTTGCGTCTGCTGGTCGTACGCCGAAGGGGCCACTAGGACCCTCGCTTCTTACTCGCCCTGAACATAAGGGCTCGACGCGCCCCGCTAGCTTGGCCGCCATCTGGACACGCGTGTCCGCAGCGGTGTGTGTGTATGTGTGTGTGTGTGTGTGTGTCTCTCTTTCTCTCTCTCTCTTTCTTTATGCCCCTCTTCTTTCTGTTTCTCTCCACTCGTTCTCCTGTTTGTTGGTTCATTATTCTTATTACCGGATGTTTGTTCTTTCTCTTGTTCTCACGCTCTATCGGTCGATTCATTGTTGTTTGATCTCTCTTTCTCTCTCTCTCTCTCAGCTCGATCTGCTCTCTACTTCCACATGTCTGCTCTCTACTATCTCTCTCTATCTTTCCTCGACTGTGCTATATACCAATGGTATGTATTCTCTACTCTTTCCCATCTACTCTCGTTCCCGACGTGTTCGTAATTCATGTCTCTGTATCTACTTCGTTTATCATTGCTACTTCTTTGTTTCCCAGATATATACACCCTCTCCACTCGCCTTTTTCTTTATCCTTACTCTTTCATACGGAAACAATGTACAAGTATGCACTTATATACATATGCAAGCCTGAAACCTAAACACTATGCTTCCACCAATAAGTGCTGTGCAATATATGTAGTGCGATCTATGCTGTGTAACATGCGTGGTGCAATCTAGGTGGTGCAATTTGCGATCTGTATAATGCAACCTATGTTGTGCATTACATGCAGCGCAATCCATGTTGTACAACCTATGTGGTTGTGCAATCTATGTCGTGCAACCTATGTGGTGCAATTCACCTTGCCAAAGTTGAAGTTGTCGGCTCCACTGCTCGCGCAATCACCCCACCCACCCACCCACAACTTGGTTTGCAAAACCCATGCGGAAGCGATTGCGATGAGTGCTTGGCGTTGGCTGGCGCGTCTCTGCGGCCGCACTGACCCGCGCAATCTCGCACGCGCAGCGGCCAGCTAGTTTGGCCCGGCCGACGCGGAAACGGTGGCGCTGACTGCTCGGCACATCCCACCGGGCATTTCATTGCGAGTCGGCGATTTGGACGGGCGCGGTATCATGGCAACGTCGACAACGGTAGACACGATGATGATAGTAGCGATGCTGGTGACGATGCTAACAACGATGACGGGGCAGCCAGTGACGGCTCCGATGCTGATAACGCCGACGACAATGACGGCGTCTTCGCGTGGGTGATGAAGGTTTTGGAAGGAGTTCGACATGCGCGCGTGGCAGACGCGCGAGAGTGGCCCGCCTTGTATTTTCGACGCGGGTCGTGCCACCCCACAGCGCGCAAGGGCGTTCGAGCGAACTCGACATGCGCGCGCGCGAAGCCTGTTCGGTAGCTTTTTATGAACATGTTGAAAAACCGATGGTTTTCTTAAGAATTCGCACGAGCGCGCGCAAGTTTTTCTTGTGGAGCATCCGTGTTGCGAAACTCTGTGTTTCTAGTCGTTTTTGGACACTCAATCATGAAATCCCTGCGAAACCGAAGTTTTGAAATGATCCCGGCATGCGCGCGCCGCGACGCGCGCGCGTGCACTTCGCCATCTTCAAAACTGATGAGTGTTGATGAGCGAATGCGCGCGCATAATATTTATTGCGGAGGATAGCGGGGGGGGGGTGGCCGACAGCGGTTGGGCTGGGATGGTTCGAATTCATATTTAGGATCGACGATGGGGCAGAATCGTATGTACATTGCAATGCGAAAAAGGGGGGTCGATAATCCTGGGGCCAATGGGGGGGTAGAGTCTATTCTCTTATCAGAAAGGAGAATCAATGTGGCGCAATCTATGCGACGGCGACGGCGGCGACAGGCGGCACCGCCCGCAAAAGCCGCCACTTGCCCCGAGCGGCGGCGACGGCGACGGCGACGGCAACAACCGGCGGCACCGCCCGCAAAAGCCGCCACTCGTCCCGAGCGGCGGCGACGGCGACGGCGACGGCGGCGACGGGCGACACCGCTTGCAAAAGCGGCCATTCACCCGAAGATGGCCAAGCCAAGTAAAAACCCCCTGCAAGCAGTGTTTGGGGACTCATCACCATAATCAACATCATCATCATCATCATCATCATCATCATCATCATCATCATCATCATCATCATCATCATCATCATCATCATCGACATCATCATGACCACAATCATCACCGTCACCATCACCCCCACTATCATCATGCTTATCACGGCTCCCCCAAACCTGGAACCACGAAATGTCACACGTGTCTGCCTTCCGTGCCCCCTCGAACAATCGCCACCCAGAAAGCTGGGCTGGCACGGTGGTGGGACTTACCACAGGCAGCTGGATATATTCGTTTGTGTCTTCATCCCTTACTGCCCTGTCGCCGACACCATTTTCAATCACATTGTTGGGCTGAGAGGGCTGCCTCCGAATGTTGGCGATGTCATCGCTCTTCGTGTTCGGTCTGTTGAGGCAGTGGGCCTCGGAATGGGACAAGCGCATCCGATTGAAATGCGATCGACAATTGGCACCTGGATGGGTGGCGGGATGTCGGAGAGAGTCGGGCGTTCGTGAACGGGGGGGATGTAAACGGGGGGTGAAGAATGGTGCACCTTCCGAGCACCGTATGGGCCCGCCGCGGCACTTTAGGGGTCATTTCGGGCCCATTTGGGCCATCTTCCTGCAACCCTCGATCCCCCCCCACTTTTGTTGCTCCCCCTTTCCCGTCCGCTCGAGAGAGAGAGAGAGTCACACGAAATCCTTGCTGTCTGCCCCAAGCAATCAGTAACTCCTACAGCCGATGACGTCCGAATCTCGAGTGGCTCGTGCATGTATCGCACGCTTCCGATACTGTTGAGGCATGAGATCGGAGCAGCGACGCTGATAACCACACAAAGGACCTCTGAATTCGGTTGAGCGGTATTCCTCTAAGACGTCCCTCTGCATCGAGGCGAAACCATGGAAGGTCAACCACCGAAAGTGACGACCAGTAAGAATTACGTGTGATCCTTGCTGGCTAAAATCCTGACATCGGTTATTCATGGCCTCTGGTCGACCCGCAACCCGATTGCAGACTCTCTCAACTTAGTGTTCAAGTACCTCTCGATGTGTGCTGGTGGCTTTCTAATATAGCCCAACGATACCGAGGCCAGATCATTCCCAATACCTGGCGAGCCATACCTTGACATTCCTTCGGGGAAGCAGCGCCAACAGAACTCGCACATACATACCACCATCTGGAAACCTCTGGATGCTCCCGGCATGCATCCTGGTCGCTTCGGTCTTGTGGTCCCGCGATATCGCCACCCTTCTAGAACTGGGTTTGGACAGTCCCTGGAAGCGTTGAAGCCTCATAGAACGCCTCGGATACGTTGAACTCTCATGGACCCTCCTGGGAAATCTTAGAGGCTCCTGTAAAGCCTCCCTGTCGCCACGCGCCTGAAATCCCACGCCTTCGCACTAATCCAAGTCGCTCCCCCAAGGAGCTGGGTTGGAGGCTCCCTGGCAAGGGAAACCCTGGAGGCCCCATGGTGGCTACCTGCAACGTGCCACCTCCTGGAAGTTCCCCGTGCCACCTCCTCGAAGTCCCCTGGAAGCATCTAAAAGCTGCTTCGGGACTGCTGGGCACTGGAAGCCCTCTTCAACTTCTGGGACCCCCCTGGCAAACACCTTCATTGTCGCTGGCTTGCCGCCCCACGCGACCCTCCCAGTCATCCTGCGCTGCCCTCGGCCCCCAGAGGACCCCTGTCCAAGATCAAGGCGCTGGGGCTCCGTTTTCTCAGGGTACAACCAACACGTATAGTAAGGATGCGCAGTGAGGGTGCAAAGGGCCTTGGGGGACCATGTCGACACTTTGCGGGATGAAGCGCGGTCAGCGGAAGCGGCTGAGGATGGGCCGAAGAGGAAGGATGCAAAAATAACCTTGGACAATTGCGGATCCTTATTCTGCGGGTTTACCGTACAGTGGGCACACAAGATACGAGAACTTACCCCAAGACGTGTAAACCAGCTCGGGTCTCAACCCGTGTTTTTCTAGAAATAAGTGTTGAACCATCTCTGTTGTGCACCATCTGTGGTGCAATCTATGCGGTGCAATTCACCCTGTCGAACTTGAAGTTGTCAACCCCACTGCTCGCGCAATCATCCCACCCACCCACTTGCAACTTGGCTTGCAAAGCCCATGCGACGGCGATTGCGATGACTGCTTTGCGCTGACTGGCGCATCGCTGCGTCCGCGCTGGAGCGCGCAGGTTCGTTCGCAGAGCGACCAGCTAGTCTGGCGCGACCGACGCGGCCGCGGTGGCGCTGACCGCTGGGCACTTCCCAGCGCGTCTCGCAGGCCGCGCTGGCGCGCGAACGCTTCAGTGCGAGTCGGTGGTTCGGGCGCGCTTGGCATCATGGCGACTTTGGTAACGGCAGACGCGATGATGATAGCAACGATGGTGGTGGCGATGGTGACAGTGATGACGGCAAGGCCAATGGCGGTGCCGATGCTGATCCCGCCGATGACGATGATGGTGTCCACGTGTCGGTGACGAAGGTTTTGGGAGCAGTTCTATCTACATGCGCACGGGTCCCACGCGCGCGCGAATGGCCCACATGGTATTGTTTGACAAGGGTCTTGCCCCCCCCAGCACGCGCGCAACGGCGTTCGAATGATTTCGACATGCGCGCGCGTGAGGCCCGTTTGGTCGAAGTTGGTGAACATGTTGAAAACGCCAACCGTTTTTTCCCAATCGTTCTGTGGTGTTGGGTCCTCGTTTTGAAGAGACAGCTCCCCGCGTCTTCTTCTTCTCCTCTTCTCCTCCTCTCCCTCCCCCCTCCCCCCATCGTCATCATAATCATCACCATCATCATCATCATCATCATCATCACCATCACCATCATAATCATTATCATCATCATCATCATCATTATCATCATCATCATCATCATCATCATCGTCATCATCACCATCATCGTCATCATCACCAACATCGTCATCGTCATCGTCATCGTCATCGTCATCATCATCATCATCATCGTCATCGTCATCGTCATCATCATCATCATCATCATCATCATCATCATCATCATCGCCGCCATCTTCACCATCATCGGTACTAAATTTGGCACACCTCTCGCACGGTTCGTGGCCCCATCGGGAGCTCCACCTACTGTCCCAATGGCGACGTTCCCATGCGTCCGCGCCACCCATTTTGGCACACCGCTCACACGGTTCGTGGCCCCATAGGGAGCTCCACCGAAACCTCCAATGGCGGCGTTCCCATGCGTCCGCGCGACCCATTTCGGCGCACCCCTCACACGGTTCGTCGCCCAATAGCGAACTCCACCTGAGGCCCCTGTGGCCGCATTCGCCCATTTCGGCGCACCCCTCACACGGTTCGTGGCACCAGAAATGGGCTCCACCTGCGGCCCCAATTGCGACGCTCCCATGCGCCCGCGCGACCCATTCCGGCACACCTCTCACACGGTTCGTGGGCCGAATAAGGAGCCCCACCTAAAGCCCCAATGGCGACGCTCCCGTGCGCCAGCGCGACACATTTCGGCACCCCCCTCACAAACAGAAGGCCACCGTGGCGACGTTCCCACGCGCCCGTGCCACCCATTGCTCACACGGTTCGTGGCCCCTATGGGGAGCTTAGTCGAAAGCCCCAATAGTGACCGTGCTCATCCATCCGCGCCACCCATGTCGCCACACCCCTCACACGGTTCGTGGCACCATAGGGAGCTCCACCTGAGGCCCCAATGGCGGCGTTCCCATGCGTTTGCGCGACATACTTCGGCGCACCGCTCGCACGGTTCGTGGCCCCATAGGGAGCTCCACCTACGGCCCCAATGGCGACGTTCCCATGCGTCTGCGCGACACATTTCGGCATACCCCTCACACGGTTCGTGGCCCCATAGGGAACCCCAACTAAGGCCCCAGTGCCGACGTTCCCATGCGTCTGCGCGACACATTTCGGCGCACCCCTCACACGGTTCGTTGCTCCATAAAGTAGCTCCAATTAAGGCACCACTGGCGACGTTCCATGCGTCCGCGCGACACATTTCGGCACACCCCTCACACGGTTCGTGGCCACATAAGGAACCCCACCTAAGGCCCCAGTTGCACCGTTCGCATGTAGGCGACACCCCGTGTCGGCACAACCCTCACGCGTTTCGTGGTTCCATGAGGAGCTCCACCTCAGGCCCCAAGGGCATCGCCCTCATGTGGGCGACATCCCGTTTCGGCGCACCTCTCACACGCTTTGTGGCCCCATGGGGAGCTCCTCCTAAGGCCCCAATGGTACCGCCCGCATGTGGGCGACACTCCGTTTTCAGCGTGCCCCTCACACGTTTCGTGGCCCCGTAGGGAGCTCCACCGAAGATGCTACTCACAACTATTATACTCACAATTGCATATGGTTGGGTCCTTCGCCAGGCTAATTTGAAGAATTCACAGGAGCGCGCGCGTAGACTTTTTTGAACAACCATGTTGTAACGCCCTTGTTTTCCCCAACCATCCAGTGGTGTTGGGTCCTCGTTTTGAAGAGACAACGCCCCGCGTCCACTCCTTCCTTGCTCCTCCCCCTCATCCCTCCTCCCATGGTCATCATCATCATCATCATCATCATCATCATCATCATCATCATCATCATCATCATCATCATCATCATCATCATCATCATCATCATCATCATCCCATCATCATCTCATCATCATCATCATCATCAGCAGCATCATCATCATCATCATCAGCGTCACCATCATCATCATCGTCATCATCAACATCGTCACCATCATCATCATCATCATCATCATCATCATCATCATCATCATCATCATCATCATCATCACCATCATCGTCGCAATCACCGCCGCCATCATCACCAGCATCGCAATCAGCTTTGGCACACCACTCCCACGTTTCGTGGCCCATAGGGAGCTCCACCGAAGGCCCCTCCGGCGGGCGGTGTCCACATGCGTCCGCGCCACCACTTTCGGCACACCCCACATGTTTCGTGGCAGCTCCACCTCAGCCTGTGTCCACATGCGCTTGCGACACCCATGTCGGCACACCCCTCACACGGCTCGTGGCCCCACAGGGCGGTCCACCGAAGGCCCCAATGGCAGTATCCACACGCGTCCGCGCCACATATTTCGGCACACCCCTCACACGAATCGTGGCCCCATCGGGTACTCCACCGAACGCCCCAGATGCGGTGTCCACATGCGTCCGCGCCAATGATTTCGGAACGCCCTCACATGTTTCGTGGTCCTACAAGGATCTCAAAGGCCCCAGTGGCGGTGTGAACATGCGTCCAGGCTACTCATTTCGGCATACCCCACATGTTTCGTGGCCCCATAGGGAGCTCCACCGAAGGCCTCAGTGGCGGTGTCCACATGCGTCCGCGCCACCAATTTCGGCGCACCCCTCACACGTTTCGTGGCCCCACGGGACGGTCCACCGGAGGCCCCACTGGCGGTATCCACATGCG